TGTCTTTTCTTCAATAACAGACCTAGACTTCCCTGCCTTTAGTATATCCGCTAGTCTTTTCAGCGCGAAGAATAAGATCCTGTTCACATGACGGGAGCTAAACGCGCGTTTACAGCTACGCGTATTTCGTTGCATTTTACTCAAGGTGTTCACATGCTAACGCGAGTTAAACGCAAGTAAATTCGTTTAAGTGTTAAAATCAAAATGCGGGTTAAGCGCCAGTCATGTGAACGGGGTCTAATATGTAGAGTTACTCAGTGAGTTTAACATCGCGTTGAAACGTCTGCACTGAGCATTCATCCAGATTACTCTTCCACTCGAACAGTTGGACCTTGCCGACGTCGCATTATATCGACTTTGGTAAAGCAATTAGAGCGCAGGAATGATAGAATACAAGATTCCGCCGGCCAGTCGGCGATGACATTTATGTACAAAAAGTAAACAAAGCCGAATAGGGTGTTAAAAGAAAATGTCAGAAGAGCAAATTTTTTTAATATTCAATTTTTCAATTGGAAACATTTTTAATTGTGCTAAATTGTAAACAATAAGAGTTAAAAGGAAAATGTGAAAAACTGTGATTTTTGTGGAAGCATTAGTGAATTTCAGTGCACTTAAAGTTTTTGAGCGTCACACATTGTGCCCTTTTTTAAATTTTAGCGTGTTGAAATTTTGCAAGAACACTGCATACGCCAATACAAATTTTTTGACCATAAATGGGCGTAGCCCGCTCAATTTGCTCGTACCTCCCATATAAAGAATAGTGCCAGACGTTCCTCGTTCTTATATTTAAATTGTAATCTTATCAGCAGGGCCGAAAATTTTAAGCTTTTGCTTCGAATTGCTTATTTTGCATATTCTGGATTTCTAAGCTTAATTTTAACGACCATGCTTATTTTGCTTATTTCTATGTATAAAGCTAAGTATGGACCTTTTAAAAAAATGGTCAAGAAATAAATTGCTTTTATTTCGTGTGTGTAAAAGAGTAGTGTTCAAGGAGTTTTAACATCTGATATTTTACAGCCCGTTTTCTCACTTTTACCTTACGAAATAATGGAGCGGGCATATATTTCTGTTGAAAACAAGGTGGCCTTTTGCTCTTTACAAAAAAATATTTTAGAAAACCATAGTAAAACGCGTAGCAAATCTCTTTAGAACTCAGTACTGTGTAAGAAAATTTGGCTCAATAAATTTTTCTTGAACATTTATGGGCTTTTTTTATTCGTCGAACTAAAGAAATATTTACAAATAACATAAGAACAGATTTGATTTTTATTAACTCTTAACTTCAATTGCATTTCTACTTGGATACAAAAATTTTAAACCAAAATTTGTCTCTAAGGGAAGGCATTGGTGTTATTAAAGAGATTAACAAAATTATAGTTTAAAAAACTAAAACCTCCCTATTATAATTGCCATTCGTAGTGTCATCAGGTATGTAACTTGAGAATAGAAACGCTGCATCTTTTAGTCGCATCAATATTACGTAGTTACATCCCGAGCTAATAAAAGGAAAGTAAAAATAAGTTATCTCAAATAGGAGAATAACGAATATAGAAAAAATAAAATAAAACGACCAGCGCAGTTCTCTATTATTTAAGAATATCAAGCAACACTTGATTGCCCATTGTAATTTTTCAATCCTTGAAATAAACTGATTAAAAAACAAGACATTTAACTGTACTTAAATTTTTTGTTTGTTTTTCGAGCATATTTGCGAGCATATTTACTAATGTCTTAGTGCTTATCTAAGTGCTTAAATTTCTTTTTTCATGCTTATTTTCTTCCAGATCGAAAAACGAGAAACCAAATCGATCATATTGTGATAGACGGCAGGCACGCTTCCAGTGTTTTAGACGTACGTACACTCCGAGGGCCAAACATCGACTCGGACCACTATCTTGTTGCAGCCAAGATACGAACCCGCCTCTGTGCAGCAAAAAATGTGCAATGCAAGGAAAGCTTATCATCGAAAAGCTGCAATCACAACAGACGCCAATTTATTCGCCAATCGGCCTTCACACCTGCTCTCTAAGAGCACTCTTCAACAAACTGACATATGCGAGCAGTCGAACTCAATTTCCCGCTCATTAAGTACCGCCGTCGAAGAAGTAGTTGGATTTCAGCGAGCCCGAAAGAACAACTGGTATGATGAGGAATGTCAAAAGCTGCAGAGAAAAAAGATGCCGCCTACAGGGCAACGCTGCGATCAGGTGCAACGCGAGCCATGTGGGACCGTTATAGGGATCCGAAGAAGGAAGCGAGACGTATTTGCCGCAATCAGAAGAGAGAAGCCGAAATACGTGAGTGTGAAGAGCTTGAGATGCTGGCCGACAGGAAAAACGCCCGAAAATTTTAGCAGAGGGTTAGGCGACTTACGGAAGGTTTCAAGACCAGGGCGAGCTCCTGTAAGAACAACAGTGGCGACCAAGTGACCGATGTCCAGAACGTACTTAAATTATGGAAAAATACAAAATCTCTTCAACAAATTTAATGGTGACTGTGGCATTGAAAAGACAAAAATGCTCAAATCTCTGCCGCCAGCAATTTCCGCCTCACCCTACTCAGTGTTATACCAACATCCGTTTCTTTTTAGTCTGCAGGTATCCTTTAAGGCTTCCCCTCGTATGAAGACACAAAGTGACAGTAAGAGTAGCAGCGCCAGATGTTGTAGAGAAAGCTCCCATACAGCACACGGCAATCGTCTTTGATGTTTAGTAAGCAGATTTACCACGCTATGGATTGAGAGTCTGGTCCACCATACCACTAACGCATAGCTTATTATGGGTCTGATCATAGAGGTATGCATCCAGAGGATTCCCTTTGGTGACAAACCCCACGTTTTGCCAAAGTACTGTTTACATTTCCAGAATGTCGCCAATGCTTTGTAGGTCTTGTGCCGCCTTGAGATTTCCACGATAGTTTTGTATTCAGAATTACTCTTAGATACTTCACTTCGGGAGAAGTCTGAATTGTAACTCCATTAAGTGTGAGGGAATGAGACCATCCAACCTTCTCCTTCTAGTGAAGAGCGCAACACTGGTTTCGATTGGGTTAGCGGTGAGCCCATTTCCGCTTTTCGGTAGTAAGTCATATTTTCGTAAAAAAATAAAAACATTTTTTTTAACAAAGAATAGTCGAAACTTGCTAAATTGTCTCTTCCCTATTTACATTTTCTCCGCCGTACGTTTACAATAAATTAATAAGGAAATCACAGCTGAATCAGTATTACCATGATGTAATAGTAATGTGATTAACAGGACGAAATATGACAGAATCTCCGTTATTGCTGAAATACGCACAAATCAATCCCAAAATGTCTAATGCATGTAATAGTTCATTTCAGAGAAGTAAGTTAATTACTTGTATTTATGATATTTTTAACCGACTTCACTAAAAGAAGGAAGGTTATCAATTCGTCGGAATATTTTTTTTTATGTATGTTACCGCATAACTTTGGACCACGTTAACCGATTTCTAAAATTCTTTTTTTTTATGGAAAGGGTTTGGGTTGGTTTAAATCCGATCATTGGATCATGAAGAGATTAACGATAATCTTAAATTTTTATATAAGCTTTAAAGTCGGTTTTGTTTTTTGCTTAAAAATTACTTGTATTTAATACGGCTATACTCGATTGTTTTGACGCCACTTGCAGCAAAAATTAAAACTGCTAGTACAACACGAGCAAGTTGAAATTATTTTTGGAAGCCATTTGTGTTTTCTCAGTTGCGGTTACACTTTGCAAATTTTGTTTCGGAAAGTGATTTCCAAAAAGTATTTTTTGTGTTATGTTAATTTGACAGCAAAATGCGTAAAAAGATGTTATTGCAACGTTTAACCGCAATTTAACGCAGAGGATGTTCCTACTAGTATCGTTCATTTGACTGTTAGTGGTGGTACTGTTCCCCAAAAAACGGCCAGTAATAATTAAATTTCTAAATAAGAAGCCAATATTTAATAAAATTGCAAATTCTTTAGACCTAAGAAATAATACGATTTTAGCCAAGCTTGCAGTCTTCGCTTAGCCCTGCCAGTAACTTACATTAGTCTCACTATCTCGTATAAGGAAATCACCATCATGTCCATGCTGGTTCAACACCGTGTCACATTGGCTGCGCGTGATGGCGCCATAATACCAGGATTTACCAGCTAAGTTTGGCCGTTCCAAAGGAGCCATAGGAGGTGAAGATTGCACTGATAAGCCATCATTACGCCGATCGATTGAGTCACCGCCACTGCTACCACCTCCACCACCATTGCCACCACTATTGTTTCGGAACGGTGTAGCCAGATAATCATTTAACTCTTGTAGATAGTTGCGTGGAACTAAACCGACATGACCTTGATTATTTCTTGCTTTATACCAATCCGGATCAGAAGGTGGACGATCCACTATTTCGAGCCGGTCCCCCTTCTCAAAAGAAAGCTCTTGGTCGTTATTCGATGAAAAACTATAAAGGGCAACCTAAAGTAAAAAACAAGTTAATTTAGATATAACTCATATGAACAGAAATTACACAATCATGTGCATAGTTAATATTTACCACAATGTCGAGCACATTCTCAGCCATGGCATACGTATGTATTTCACCATCATTATCACAATCTTCAGTTGTGTAATTGCTTGGAAACCAACCGACCGCATTACCATTCTGACCTCGCCACCAGCCATCGTTGGACTTTTCCAATATAAGAATACGGGTTCCTTTACTTAGCGACAATTCGTCCGGTTGTTGTGCCTGGTAGTTGTATTTAACAATCGCAGTACCTATGGCTTCAGCTGGATCTGGTGGTAAACGTCGAGACATTGTTGGACTCTCAATTTGTCTTGAGGGTGAGCAATTTGGTAAAGTTTTGGAGCCAGAGCCTTTTTTCACTTTTTTTTTTATGCTAAAAGAAGATCAATTATGGTTATCAGATATTGTAAATACAATACATATATAAAGCTAATATTTTTTTTGTTGTGTAGAAGGAAATTTTTAAAACCTTTTGAATCAAAAACTTAATTAACTTTTTGTCGAAAAAAATTACGTGAAAAAATAAGGGGGTTTATGAGCTGTAAGTCGGGTCCACGAAAATTTATCTGGTTCCGATAGAAGAGAGCAAAAATTGTTGCATGGCTTTACCTATCAATGTAGGCACTACTCGAAAAAATTAAGGGATCAAACAAAAATTTTTGAGAGGCCATATTTCGGTAAAAATTGTGGTATTGAGACTTAAAAAAAACCTTTGAAGCTCCAAATTTCTAATTTTTCTTGAGTACACATTTTTTGAGCTATGGTTCTCATGTAATGTCAAGATTACGGATAGCGCGAAAAAATACTTTTGCTAATCTGGTTTTTTTTTGTCTACGGGGTTGAAAAAATGTTGTTCATTTAGGTTGGCGTATGGATCAGATAGCCTTTTTATTAAGCTTTAATTTCCTATTTTTAAAACCTCTCTTAATTTTTTTGAGTAGTGTATAGTGCTCTTGACCCACTGCTGCATTTACAGTCACTTTGTGTCTTCATACGTGGGGAAGCCTTAAAGACCACCTGCAGAGTAAAAAGAAACGGATGTGGGTATAACACTGAGATCTGAGCCCATGAGTCATTTCAATGCCACAGGCACGGTTGCCACTTTGGTACAATTGTACCAAATATGGGCCTTTTTTCTCCGCTTGGGCCTTAGCACTTCTTTGTTTGTTTTGGGCCTCTTTGAAGCAACTATGGCTATTCGTCCGTTGGAATTATGCAGGACTCGATACCGCTGTGTTTCTTGACGAGAGTTATAGCCTCTATATTCTTATGGTATTCGACGCGCTGAATGTGAATCCGAGGTCTGAAAAAAATAAAGTCATATACATAGGTTTCTGTTGTCGTTGAATCCGAATATGGGGCCCCTTAATTCTTCAAAGTTATCTAGAGGCCATTCCAAGGTCGTCTCAAGGTCAAATTCAGAAGAATTGTATTGAATTTTCAGGTTTTTCAACAAATTTTTCACTACTTGACCTTCAAATGGCCTCGAACCTGATCTGATGGTGACTAACAGACCTCAGATTCGTATTCAGGGCGACCAATACCATAGGGATATACAGGTTTGGTTCAATATGCAGAAACTTTTGTTTTGTAAACCTGTGTAAATAATGAAAAAAAAAATTATTGCAATTTTTGTTAACGTTTAATATTATAAAAAATTTTTTTTCGTTGGACGGCAAAAAATTGTACATTTTATTTTATTTTGGACCTGAAACATTAAACACAAAATTTTTATGAAGTGGCAACCGTGGCCCACAGGAAGTTGGTTTCCCTGAGGCTGAATGCTGGTTTAATTCCAACACTGCAACACGAATCTTCACTTATGGCTCCAAAACTGACGATGGATCAGGATCTGGGGGTTTTTCGAAGTTAATATGGATGAGCTTTACTTTTTTCTTGGGGAGCATGCTTCGGTGTTCCAGGCTGAGGAATTTGCAATCCTCAAGGGCATGGCCTACGTGGTGGATAATAGGTCGAGGGGAAGGAGTTTACGTGTCTGCAGTGACAGTCAAGCTGCACTTAAGGCATTGGCCAGCCCTCTAACGAAGTACTACCAAACTAGTTCAACAATGCAAGTTGTAACGAATTCCACGTGTTGCATATTTATTGTCCTGAAAATTATATTTTATTTTACAATATAGTTACCTTATAGCTAACAAATACATCTTATCCTTAGGATTGCCATAGACCATCTTATATGTATGATATTTGCAACATGTTTACATCTTGTTACATGCTTTTTTTTACAAATCTAATTTGTGTGGCTTGTGAATTGTTCTTCCACTGCGTGTTACATAAGGAGCGGGTTGGCCAACGTCATTAAAATTATTGGGAGTGTCTGAGTTCTCCCTACTCTCGGCATTTTCATAAATTTATTCGTTTGCACTATCAACTACACTATTATTTACATCATCATTCTGTACTCCGATTGAATTATCAGATACTTCTTCGCAATTATTATTATTTACACTCCTTGTGATTTTAGTTATTACTAGGGCTCGGAATCTCATGCACTAAAAAATCGAAAATATGCGCGTATAATATGCACTCAAAATCAAGCAGTCAGTTGCAATCTTGTGTAAATAGAAACATGGACAGTTTAGTAGTTTGAGAAAGTTTGGCGACTTTAATGAATTTCAATACGTCATACAGAGAGAGTCAGATTCACTCTAAAACATTCTGCAGGAATGGTTTGCAGAGTGTCTTTAGCCTTATCCTTGCGGGGGCTGGACAGTCGCACAGGAAATGTTCGACCGTCCCTTTTAAGTCGGTCATCACAACTGCGAAGGAACCTGTTGAAGGGTAATCCAAACCTTTCAGCATGTACCTCGAGGGGCCAGTACCCTGTGTACACTGCAGTAAGTTTGTAGGTATCTTCTTCGCTCATTCTTAAGAGAGCTTTTATGTTAAGTGGGTCGGGTAATCCTGTACGATCCTGTACGGTTCCACCTCTGCTTGGCCTTCGAGTGATAAATTTCGTTGTTACTTTTATTTTCCCGAGCGAGGCGGTAATTTCGTATTGATCAGATATATAGGTCAGTTCTCTCTTACAGTCTTCCACTAGTTGACATCTAATAGAGGTACATAGAAGAGAGTGCCTCAACGGCAATTTTTTCGTGAAGAGGAATTTTTGTGTCAAGCGATTGCCCACTAAATTTAAATGGTTGTAATCAATTAAAAGTAAAAATATGCAAAAACCACATGTATTTATTATAAAATATACTAAAATATGCGCAATAAACATGCAAAATGACGTATTTTTTTTTTGCAAATTATGCAAAATTATGCATTTACTGCAAAAATATGCACTAACTATTGAATGCCATTTTAAAAGGAAATTTCATGATTCGTAAAGATAACTTAACCATTTCAATTTGAAGATGCCCAATAAAAAAATGCATTTGCATAAGATTCAGAGCCCAAGTTATTACCAGGGTTAGGATTTTAAGGTATTTGCCTATTTTGTCTGCTTAGTCGCATCTGTAAACAAATTAAAGAATCGCACGTTTCATGTCTTCCTCGATTAAAAATTGGAATTTTAATTTTGTCTTTTTTGCCTTTTATGACTATATTGCCTTCATCTGCATTTTCTACACGTTTTGCCTTTTTAATATTTATCTCTTCATAGAAGTTCGCTGTATTGTACCAACAGCCCGCATGTACAAATCTGTACAAAAGTACCAATCGTGTGTCACTGAATTAAAATGTGCAATATTAAAAAAAAAAAATCAACAAAATTTCTTAAAAATTTCGAGATTTTTTAATTAGATTTCCTAGAAAGATTCTGAGTAGCCCATTGAATTCTAGTAGAATAAAGTACAAGTTTCAAATGGCTAAAAATTATGGTTGATTTTTTAGAATTTTTAAAAAAGCTCGAATTTTTACGAAGTTTTTGAATATTGCAAAAAGTTTGAAGCTTTGATTTACACGGGTTTTGTTAAAGAATGAACTATATTTTTAAAAAGTAACCAAAATGAAATAACAACAAAAATAGTATGTTAAAACTATTTGGGGCTATAATTTTTTGACCACTATATGCATTTTTTATATATTGAATTTGACATTGCATTGTACTAAAGGTATGTATATAACAAAATTAAAGTATAAATGAATTTTTTTGCCTTTTTTGAAAGCTCATTTTCCTTTTTTCAAGTTTTATGGCCTTCAAATCCTAACCCTGGTTATTACATTATCATTAACATCGAAACATACGTAAATTGATTGGCATATACATACATCTTTTATAATATATGATTTATTATTATAATTTTAAACAATCGTCCCTCTTTTCCATTGATCTTCTTTCAAAAACAACACATTCTTACTTAATTTACTTAGCTCTTTTGTTAATAGGTTATAAGCATATGCTTGTTTTCCTCTCTTAATACAAATCCTCTTTTTAATTTCTCTTTTGTTTGTCACTTTCTTAAGGAAAATGTTTTCGGAAATCGGAAGCTTAGTTTTAATGTTCCTTCCCATAAACCACTGAGCTGGCGACAAAAGCATATCTTGTAAAGGAGTTGCATTATATTCCAAAATTTGATATTGGTAATCAATGTGGTTATTCACGCTTGCCTGGTTATAAGGTTATAACCAGGCAAGGGTGGACAACCACATTATTTCCAACAAGCTTATTTTTCCTCAAGATATTTTTAGCAATACAGAACACTTTTCCACCAACCCCTTACTCTGGGGATAGTAAGGACTAGAAAATTGTAAAGCAATATTGCTTTCAGTTGCGAATTGTTTGAATTTGTAGCACGTTATCGGATCTTATTTCCGTGGTTATTTCAAATTTGGTAAACAATGTTCCCACAGCAAAAATGATATCATCAATTGATTTATTATTACAACGCTTTTATCAAATGCAATGTTGTATGTCCAAAAACATTTGCTATATTTATAGATTATAATCAAAGTTGCCATGTAAAGGAGCGCAAGGATTCGTTGGTTATCGAAGATCGAATGTAAAATTGGTACTATGAGCTATGCAACCCTGTCGAAATTTTCGTTGAGTATCGAATTTTAAGTCGAACAGAATTTTGCTTTCGATGCTGTAGCGTAGTGTGAGAAAATTGTCGAAAATTTAAGTATTTTGCGTTTGTTTTTTTATTTTTTAGCGTCTAAACGCCAATTTTAAAACAATTTTTGTTAATTTCATACAGGTCTAAGGTCGTGAGTACTAAACAGCAACTCGAAAGACTGGTTTCATTGATGGAAGAAACTCCTCAACTTGCGAAAGGGATTTGTACAAAGCTTCAGGCGGCAAAAAAGTGGGAAGATATTGCGCTGGAGCTCAATTGTTTAGGATCACCAATTAGAGCGACAGCAAAGTGGATTAAGGTGAATTAAAGTAATTTTTATTTGTATAAGTAAATTTCAGCTTTGTGTTTTCAGGTGTGGGCTGACATGAAATGGAAGACCAAAAAGAAAATGTCACAAAATAAGGCTGAATACCGAGCAACAGGTGGAGGACCGAACAGGCTTCAATCGTATACCAATATTGAGGCTATAATTGGGTTACTTGAGCTTGATGCCTGTGTGAATCCACCGGGAGCGGAATCCGGCCTAGATATAAGTGGTGATAATCAGCGCCTAGATTCGCCTGAGCCGGCTCAGATCAAAACTAGCCACCGTTCGATTTGGAAACGAACAATGAAGACCGAAACTATGTAGTTGGCGAAAATACAACACGAAACCCTAGAAAAAAACGGTGCCACAAACCGGAGGGACTGAGGTTGTTGGAAGGCCAGACAAATGCCCAGAAGGCTTTTTATGAAGAGGTAATTTCGAACATAAAAGAGATTAAAAAAAAGTGCTAGGGAAACGGAAAAATATGCAAAAAGAAAGTACTACTTAAAAAAAGACTCACCTACAGAACTCTTACAAATGAAAAAAGAAAAATTAGAAATTTATAAAAGTGAAGTTATGAGAAAGGAGCAAGATCGGAAAGCAAAACTGCAACTAAAGGTTGCACTTTTAGAGATGAAGAAAAAATGTTGCCTAAACCATAACTTATAATTATATTTTTATCGAATGAATTCACGTGTTAATTTTTTAGTTTTATTAATCTTTAAGTAATATATGTAAGTGAATTAATGATATTTTTGCCTGTGATATGAATTGAGAAAGGCTGTAAAAACTTTTATGTAGATATTTTACAACCATGAATTTATGTGATGATTTTTTATTCAATTTATAATGTGCATATGTACCTTCATATCTTAAACCAACAATACTTATGAATTTAATACAAGAAACTGGAATACCTTTATTAATACTTTTTTAATTATTTAAAAGGTTCTTAAAATTTCATTTCTGATGTCTTCTGCTTCTGGGTTCTCAATTGATTCCATCTCAACGACTCCGGCATCATCGTCGTGAGGCTCACTTGAAAAATCTTCTCCGTCGGGTATTTCTACATTATAAAATAGGCAAATGCAAAGCTGCGCACACATTTATTATTTTTGTTGCTTTCTTTGGAGTGTAATGAAGAGCTCTCGCTTACAATAGACATCTGAATCTATTTCTAAACCTCCAACTGTTCGCTCTATAATATTTCTGGCTTTTGCATGTTGTTTGTTGTATGTTCTTTGAGGAGATCGTTCCTAAGAATTTCTGAACGGCGTCATCAAGTACGGTTTTAGAGCGTAACCAGCATCACTTAACGTGGATAAAAATAATTTAAAAAAAGGAAATAAATGTAGGTTTTGTATTTGATTACATACCCAGTAGCCAAGTATTACGAATATCATTATGATGTTGTTGTTCTAAGTCTGCTTTCAATGATGACATATTAAAAAACATGGAATCATGTGTCGCTCCCGGTTTTTTTTTGCATTTATGTATCTTATTTTCATTGTGTGATCACAAGCCTAAAAAAATACAAAAGTGTACACATCTACAATTAGAGATTCTTAGCATATATGTATGAAAATATATATAGGCTGACTTCCAAAACGTATCAATACTGTTATACTGCGGTATTCGAACTGTTTGTATATGCAGAGTTGCGCAACATTTTAAATAGTCAATATAGCAATGAACAATTTTTCTGAATTTTCCATTTCTAATACACCAATGCTAACCAATAACAAACAAAGCATCAACTTTGTTTCTGATGCGCTGATTGCTCTAGCGATGCGTTTCGATAACTTTGCGGCCGCGTTTTGGAACAGTATACATTGTCAATATTTTGTAGTTCGACGTTATGGAACCCTATACTTTGTACGTATGCAAAGCAATTGACGTTTTGGAAGTCAGCCATACTTACAACCTTAGCATTAATGCTGAAGAATCCTTTTCTGTTGTAATATAAATGCTGGAATTCCTTCTTGGGACCGAANTAATTTAAAAAAAGGAAATAAATGTAGGTTTTGTATTTGATTACATACCCAGTAGCCAAGTATTACGAATATCATTATGATGTTGTTGTTCTAAGTCTGCTTTCAATGATGACATATTAAAAAACATGGAATCATGTGTCGCTCCCGGTTTTTTTTTGCATTTATGTATCTTATTTTCATTGTGTGATCACAAGCCTAAAAAAATACAAAAGTGTACACATCTACAATTAGAGATTCTTAGCATATATGTATGAAAATATATATAGGCTGACTTCCAAAACGTATCAATACTGTTATACTGCGGTATTCGAACTGTTTGTATATGCAGAGTTGCGCAACATTTTAAATAGTCAATATAGCAATGAACAATTTTTCTGAATTTTCCATTTCTAATACACCAATGCTAACCAATAACAAACAAAGCATCAACTTTGTTTCTGATGCGCTGATTGCTCTAGCGATGCGTTTCGATAACTTTGCGGCCGCGTTTTGGAACAGTATACATTGTCAATATTTTGTAGTTCGACGTTATGGAACCCTATACTTTGTACGTATGCAAAGCAATTGACGTTTTGGAAGTCAGCCATACTTACAACCTTAGCATTAATGCTGAAGAATCCTTTTCTGTTGTAATATAAATGCTGGAATTCCTTCTTGGGACCGACAATTTTAATGTGCGTCCCATCAACACAGCCGATTATTCCTGGAATTCTGCTTTTGCTGTAAAAATGTGCTTTCGCTTGTTGCAGTTCAGTCCCTGTGTAGATGAATATTATCCATCTTTGGCAAATGAAATTTTCCTAAACATCAAGCACTTCTGATATCACCGCAGACACCGTGGGCTGCGCAAGCCTAAGCACATTTTCATTCCCAATGCTCAGTTGGTACGATCCCTGAGCACCAAATCGCAGAAATGTTGCTAGTTTTAAGATATTTGCAATAGATTTGGCTCGAACGCATTGCTGCAGCAGGTCTTCTGTAGCGGACAGCAGGTCCACAAACGCCTCTTTAGATAGTCGGAAGTTTTTTATAAATCTGTAGACAAATAAATATAAATATTATATAAATATGTGAAAATATATTCAAAAGGCTACACTTACGTGGTTAAATCCCTTTCCAAGGGATTGAAAGCGTCCCTTAAACGTTTTCTATTCCTGGCCAGTTCCACTAAACTCTCATCCTCTGAGGAATCGTCGAACCATAACTCCGTTGTACTCATCTGCACAAAGATTTTTTCAACTCGCTTTCTTTTTTACTTAGTTTTAATTAACGCAAATTTACATAAAAGCATACTATTTACTTTAGTTACGTTGTAATAAACACGCTTTCTTTTCTTTTAATTTACTTAATATGTAAACAAAGCATCTCAGCTGTCAAAAATATAGTAGAAAATCGAATGCAACACATAATAGGGGCCAATATTTATTTGAGTAGTGTTATTGAGCTTTGTACCACGAGTTGTTTTTTAGGAAAAATGGAAAAAAGAACAAAGCATAAGTGGTAGAAGTTATAGCAGCTATTTCGGAAATCACCACATCTCCTCGTCATCGATGTGCCAAGTCAGAAGCTCTAACCATTGAGCTATGCACACCCCGCAAGCTCTTGTTGCTAATCCATTTCCTTATTCAACCTACTACTATCAAGTGCAGCTGATTCGCCGTTATTTAAGCTTAACAGCGTGGTTGTTACTCATACATGAAATAGATGCATTGTATAGTTTTAGGCAGGCTCATCCCAAACTACTTTTTTGTCAATTTTTATTGTGGCGTATTAATATTTATTTCAGTAGTGTTATTGAGCTTTGTACACGACTTGTTGTTTTTTCCATTTTTCCTAACAAACGATCGTGGTACAAAGCTCAATAACACTAATTAAAAATTTTTTTTAAAATATGAAGCTTTGATATATGAGGCATTTCATGTCACCGCGGCCTCCTCTGTGCGCGACCTCTAAGGATTTGGATGAAAGTTGAAGAGATTGAAGGTCTAGGTGACATGAATATACGTGCAGCATATTTTTCCGATATGACGTAGGGTTGCCTATTTACACGGGACTTAAATTTTAAGAAAACGTCATACATACCCTTCTTTAAAGTGCTGTATCTTGGAAACCTTTTAAGGCAACTTAATGAAACAAAATGTATTTCTTGCGTCTCATTACGGGCTTTAATTGTACATTTTTTACATTAATGTGCAACGTATAAAAAAACAATAAATTAAGTAAACATTTTTCTTTTTGAATTTTTTTTTGATTATAGCATTTTAAAAATTTTTTATTTTTACATAAAAACATTGTCCATAATGTCAACTTTAAGTACCCAAATGGGCGTTATGGGCTACTTATGCGTTTGGACTGTAGATCGTCTAACGCTAGAGCAATATAATAAATAGGCATTGAAATTTTATGAATTTGTATTTTGATGAAAGAGGAAAGGTGTGTAAAAAACAAAAACAATATGAATAAATCATACTAACTTTACTAAAGGTCTCAAATCATGAAAATCCCTTGAAGGAAATGGCACAATTGAACTTTGTTGCAAGTTCACATTCGAAATGTGCTTACGACGTGATTGGAGGAAATTCTAAAAGACTAGCATCTAGAGCAAGTCTTCAACACCTAATGTTACAACAAATTCGTACACCCGAAGCCCTCTACCAATGGGGTGCTGTATGTTTCCAATGAGATGCCTGTAAAAAATAACTACAACTAACCTTTCAGTGGACTTTATTTCGACTATGACTAGTTACGTCCTACTTTAAGCTAGTTTAAAAGGTTAAATAACATCAAGTCAGGGAACTTCATATCCTTATTTAACGAATATTTAAATCAATAAATAATTTTTTTCTTTTTAGTACTTATTGTAATAAAATCGTGTTATTTGGTTTCTTTTAAACTATAATTTTATTACTCATTTGGTTTATTTTATTACACACCTCTCCTTTTTCTTCTTTTAATAAAATGAAACCGAAACATCAACAACATCAACATAAACAACACTCAATGCAAAAGAATATTAGACCTCCAATGATAGCTTCAAGGTTAGCCCTTTTATTAAAACAAGGAAGGGAAAAGTGTTTAAAAAAATAAACCTAATGAGTAATAAAACTATAGTTTGGAAAAAAATCAACAACACGCTTTTATTACAATAAGAACTAAAAAGAAAAAAAATTATTTATTGATTTAAAGATTCGTTAAATAAGGATACGAAGATCCCTAACTTGATGTTATTTAACCTTTTAAACTAGCTTAAAATATAATTAAAATAATTGGCACGTAGTAACATCAGGAGTCGAAGACTTGCTCTAGCTGGTAGTCTCTTAAAATTTCCTCCAATCACGTCGTAAGCAGATTTCCCATGTGAACTTGGAACAAAGTTCAATTGTGCCATTTCCTTGAAGGGATTTTCATGATTTCAGACCTTTAGTAAAGTTAATATGATTTATTCATATTGTTTTTGTCTTTTACACACCTTTCCTCTTTCAAAAATATACAATTTCATAAAATTGCAATATATATTTATCATATTGCTCTAGCGTTAGACGATCTGGAGTCCAAACGCATAAGTAGCCCATTACGCCCATTTGGGTACTTAAAGTTGACATTATACACAATGTTTTTATGTAAAAATAAAATTTTTTAAAAATGCTATAATCAAACAAAAAAATCAAGGAAGAATGTTTACTTAATTTATTGTTTTTTATACGTTGCACATTAATGTAAAAAATGTACAATTAAAGCCCGTAATGAGACGCAAGAAATACATTATGTTTCATTAAGTTGCGTTAAAAGGTTTCCAAGATACAGCACTTTAAAGAAGGTATGTATGACGTTTTCTTGAAATTTAAGTCCCGTGTAAATAGGCAACCCTACGTCATATCGGAAAAATATGCTGCACGTATCTTCATGTCACCTAGACCTTCAATCTCTTCAACTTTCATCCAAATCCTTAGACGTCGCGCACAGAGGTGGCCGCGGTGACATGAAATGCCTCATGTCATGTTATATTATAGAATAAACAATATTTTCATAAACAACCCAGGCTTACAAAAAAAAATGTTCTGCCTATTAAGCCTAACCTCTATATCCCTATGGTATTCGACGAGCTTAATGCGAACCCGAGGTGTGAAAAAACTTTATCTTCAAAGTTATCTAGAGGTCATGCCAAGGTCAACTTCAGAAGAATTATATTGAATTTTCGGGTTTTTCATCGAATTTTTCTCTATTTGACCTTCAAATGACCTCAAACCTGACGTGGTGGAGACGTACAGACCGCGGATTCGTATTCAGGGCTCCGAATACCATAGAGGTTTCGTTCAATGTGCAGACACTTTTTTTTTGTAAACCTATGTAATAAAAGAAAAAACTTGTTCGTGAAAATAATTGTAAATATTATATTAGGACAAGATGTACACTAACATTTAACCCATCTTATATATGCACAAATGCAAACAAATATCTGAACATTACTCCGTTGAAATGGATTACCTTTGTTAACATATGGGCTTTTAAAGGAAATCCTTTATTTCTCATTTGTCCCGTTAAATTTTTGTAAATCCGGAATTTTTGGGACAAATTATGCGTTTGTCACGTATGGCTGGGAAAAAATCTGGCAACACTAATATGTATATGTATTTAAGATGGACGGCAAAAAATGATATATTTTATTTTATTTTGGGCCTTTTTACTTGGATATTGTGGTACACTAAATTTTTAATTTTTAGTGGCAACCGTGCTCCGAGGCCCAAACATTGACTCGAACCACTATCTTGTTGCAGCCAAGATACGCACCCGTGCAGCGAAATATGTGCGCCCAAATATGCAAGGAAAGCTTAACGTCGAAAAGCTGCAATCGCAACAGACGGCCAATTTATTCGCCACTCGACTCTCACATCTGCTCTCTGAGAGCACTCTTCAACAATCCGACATATGCGAGCTGTGGAACCACATTTTATTCATTAAGTACCGCTGCCGAAGAAGTAGTCGGATTTCAGTGAGCCCGAAAGAACAACTGGTACGAGGAGGAGTGTCAAGAAGCTGCAGAGAAAAAAAGATGTCGCCTACAGGGCCACTCTGCGATCGGACGCAACGTGAACCATGTGGGACCGTAAAAGGGAGCTGAAGAGGAAATCGAGAAGTATTTGCCGCAATAAGAAGAGAGAGGCCGAAATACGTGAGTGCGAAGAGCTTGAAATGCTGCCGACAGGAAGAAAGCCCAAAATTTTACCAGAGAGTTCGCCGCCTTACGGAAAGTTTCAAGACTAGGACGTAGTCCTGTAAGCACAACAATGGCGACCTAGTTACGTACCTCAATTATGGAAGGAATACTTTTCCACCCTACTGAGTGGTAGCGGAATGTTGTGGAGAAGAAAAACCCGAGCCCCCGTCCATGATGACGGAGACGATGTTCCACCGCCTGACTATGACGAGGTACGAATAGCAATAACGCGGCTGAAAACCAACAAAGCTGCTGGAGCTGACAGCCTTCCAGCTGAGCTATTTAAGTACGGCGGCGAGGAGTTGATAAGGTGCATGCATCAACTCTTATGCAGAATATGGTCAGATGAACGCATGCCCGACGAGTGGAATTTAAGTGTGCTATGCCCACTCCACAAGAAAGGCGACCCCACCATTCGCGCCAACTACCGCGGGCTCAGCCTTCTAAGCATAGGTTACAAGGTCTTATCGAGCGTGGGAAAGACTGAAGCCCACCGTCAATGAACTGATTGGGCGTTATCCACCATAGACCAGTTGTTCACAATATGCCAAATCTTGGAAAAGACCCGCGAGAAAGGACCGACACTCACCACCTATTTGTCGACTTTAAAGTCGTTTTCGACAGCACTAAATGGAGTTGCCTATACGGCGCTATGTCTGAATTTAGAATCCCCTCAAAACTCATACGGCTATGTAAAATGACGCTGAGCAATACCACCAGCTCCTTCAGAATTGGGAAAGACCTCTCCTAGCCGTTCGCCACCAAACAGGGTTTCAGACAGGGCGACTCACTTTCATGTGACTTCTTTAATCTGATGTTGGAGAAGATAATCAGCCCTATTCTGCATTTCGATTACGTTCCCGCGTTCCGCTCCGCACGAATCGAACTTCGGCATTCTGCGTTACGATCGAATCGAAAGAGGAAGAGAGAAAAGATCTTTCGAAATCAGCTGTTTGCCTAGGAATTTGTGAAATCGAAACAAAACAAAAGAAATATTTGCCACCAAACTAAGCAGCTTATGAAGTTAAAGTTTGTAAATATTTTAAAATAACTTAATATATGCAACATCGTTGTAATTTAAAAATAAAATTTCGTTTGTGCTTTATTTAAGTGGAAACATAATTATAAAAATGAAATCCATAGCCGCGGCGTTATTGCTTGAAGAGGAGAACGAGTCCCAGATTGCTGATGCGGAAATTGAAAGGCGGAGATTTAGGGATATATTTGATCTTACTCAGATGAGTGAAGAGTCATAAATTCATCATGAACTGTATTACTCATCGCTCAAAGCCAGTGAAATTATAAACATTGTTTTAGCACTCCACAACATTTGCATTTACTACAGAGTGGAAGATTTGAACGCAAATAAATTCCATTTTGAAAGCCGTCAGGAGGAGGGGAAGAACAAAGCTTCATAGCAACTTCGAATTCGACAACATACGCACCTCTTTTTAAAAAGTTAGTAAAAACGAATGCAATAATAAAAGCATCTTTTTTTATGTAACTTCACATTTTATGTATGTATGTATGTATGTACATACTTCTATTAATTTTATATATAAAGAATAAATTGTATTCAGTGCATTTCACAGTCTTATTTATAGATAATGAAAACAAAAACGCCTGTGCTTTCTCTTTGAAAACCTCGGGCAATATCCCTTTTGGTTGCTAATATTTGAGCCAATTTTTCGTCTTGCCCGTATTACCGCTGCGAAAACATAAAAATCGAGAAAATTAATTTATGATGACTTACAATCATGCACAGTATATTTTACTTAATTTTTTTATTAAATTTTATTATTCAAACCCACGAATATAACAATTGAAACGTTCTCCGTCAAAAAATTTGCAACTTAGAAAATCGGAACTCCGATCGAAATGTATAATAGGTATAATCGTAAATTTCGAAGATTGATCGAAAGGAAACGGAAGGCAGAATACCAAAGTTGCCAAACGGAGAAAATTTCGATTTGAGTCGAAATGCAGAATAGGGCTGAATAAGAGCTGCAGAACTGAACCGTTCAGGAACAATTTACTACAAGAGCGTATAATTGCTGACTTATGCCGATTACATCGAAATCATTGGTAACAAAAACCGCGAAGTCTGTTCTGCCTTTTCAAAGTTGGATAAGGAAGCAAAGCGAATGGGTCTGGTGGTAAACGAGGACAAGACGAAGTATCTCCTGTCATCAAACAAACAGTCAGCACATTAGCGCCTTTACACCCACGCCACTGTTGACAGTTATAATTTCGAGAAAGAGGAAAATTTCCCTTACTTAGGAACCAGCATTAGCACCGATAATAATGTCAGCATGGAAATGCAATGCAGAATCACTCTTGCCAACAAGTGCTACTTTGCACTGAGTAGGCAATTCAGGAGTAAAGTCGACTTTCGGCGTACGAAAACCACACGATAAGTCACTCATCATGCCCGTGCTGGTATATGGCGCAGAAGCATGGACAATGACAACATCCGATGAGGCGGCTATTAGAGTATTCGAGAGAAATATTTGGCGGAAGATTTACGGGCCTTTACGCGTTGGCGACGGCGAGTACCGCAGACGATGGAATGATGAGCTGTATGAGCTTTACAACGACATGGATATAGTGCAGCGAATTAAAACACAGCGGCTCCGCTGGCTCGGCCATGTCGTTCGAATGGACCCCGACGCTCCAGCTCTGAAAGAATATTCATTTCGGAACCCGCTGGTGGTAGCAGAGAAAGAGGGAGGCCCCGCTGCGATGCAAAGACCAGGTGGAGGACTTGGCTTCACTTGCCATTTCCAATTGGCGTCAGTTGGCACAGAAGAGAAAACGACTGGCGTGCTTGGTTGAACTCGGCCAAATCGTTTAGGCGGTTACAGCGCAAAATAAGAAGAAGAATTAATGTTTTATTTGGAAAAATGTTAGAAGTGCAAAATACCGACCATTCCCACAAGTCAAGATATGGAGCAGAAAGGGTTTGGCATAGTTTTCCTGCACGAAAGCCAAATTATCTGGTTTGCTTCATTTATGCTATTAGTTTTAAGCATGGTACATTTGCGGAACTGATATCAATCTCAATTCAAGAATTTGCTCCATTTATAACAAAAATACCGGTTTTCAATAAAAGATTTACGGCTCTCTTCTGTATCAGTTACAAATTCTTGTCACAATTTTTTCTACGGAAAAATATATGAAAAAGTTCAAATTTGTCAGTAAAAAAAAGTTAAACACCGATACAGAATTGGGCTATTAATTTAAATATGAGAAGAGTTACACATGTGTGCTTACATATCGTCGACTGTAGCGGAATACCTCGTGTGCCTCAAATTCAATATGTAATCATCATGCAGACCCCCTTTCTGCCCCTTGTCATTAAAAGTAAGCAAACCAAAGACCGCCGCTTCCCACTGGTGGTTACATAATACCCCTGTAGGGAAACGAACTAGTGCGGAACTGGTTCGGTTCTAGTGCGTTTGGAACCATGACTAGTACGCGTTAATTCTCTTTTGCATGCTAGCGACTGGCGAATTTAACATTGCGATGTCCTAGGAAGTGCCAATTGTCCCCCGTTGCATCCCTTTGGCTCTAGTTCCGAACCAGTTCTAAATCCGACAGATAAGATCTAGTTCGTTTTGCATCCCTTTTTCTATAGCTCCGAACCAGTTCCAAATTCGACAGATGAGATCTAGTTCGTTCTGCATCCCCTTTTCTTTAGTTCCAAACCAGTTCCTAATTCGACAGATGAGATCTAGTTCGATCTGCATCCATTTTGTATATGTAGTTCCCAACCTGTTATAAATTCGTCAACTTAGATATATATTTCTAATCAGGCTTGTCGAAACATTTCCCTTTTATATTAAATACGATCGGTTGAAGGAAGGACAATACCATCACAAATGTTTAAACGCATTTGTTAAAAATTTATAAACCACATTAGTAGTAGTAGTAGTATTAAACTTAAGTAGTAAGTAAAAAACAAAAGTGCGTTCTGCTTAAAAGTAAAAATATTAGTTCACTTTGTCTTACTTGTATAAATTTAAGCATATTGATTTTTAAGTAAATTCGGTTCTTTTTAAGCTTATATGTATATGAAGTACTTCGAAAGTTTTTGTCGTACTTAACTTAAATAAGATATACAGTCAGTCAATAAAGTTTAGGTACAGTGAAGTTTTTACAATACCGGCAACTATTTTTTAAATATTTTTTCCCCCTAATTTTTTATAAAAACATGTTAATTCTACACCAAAAACCCCAAAAATCAGAGTTCCAAACCTTATGCAAAATTAAAGAAAAGTCTGCGAATTTCCATCCAAGTGTTGCAATTTACACTCTTTAGAAAAAAGTTAAGTACTCAGTTATTAGCCAATTCAATTTTAGTATAACAAAGTGCAAGTTTGAGGCAGCTAGGACTTACCATTGATATTTAGCAATTTTTTCTTGTTGTTTGGTAAGTCCTAGCTTCCTCATTCTTGCACTTCATTATACTAAAATTGAATGTGCTAAACAACTTTTTCTAGAGAGCGTAAATAGAAAGTGAATTATTTTAATGAAATTTTGCAGAATTTTCTTAAATTTTGCACAACGTTTGGAACTCTGATTTTTGGGGATTTTGTTGTAGAATTGACCATATTTTTATAAATAAAATTTGAAAAATGGTGCGGGACTAGTTACTACAGACGTTTTCGTTTTTGGCGAAACAGAACTAGTACTGAACCAGAAATTTGGTTCACTAGTTCGTGTTTTCCCTACTTATATATAAGTACAGGGTGGCGCCGAATGAGCTATATGGTTTAAATGGTTTATAACTTTTTTATTTATGCGATTTTAAATATAATTTTTTGTTTAAATACAGTATATTATTGGGGAATTTTTTGCAATTAGCTTTGAAAAATGATATCCTGTAAGTGATGTCCATTTTCTGCTTCGCACATACGTGCTCGTTTTAGCATATTTTCCATAATTTTTCGCAGAATTCCGGGTGTAATGGCCATGATTTCATTTCAATGTTGGTTTGGAGTTGGAGAATGGTTCTTGGTTTGTTAACGTACACTCTTTCTTTCAAATATCCCCAAATAAAACTGTTAAAAAGAATTCAAACCATATAGCTCATTCGGCGCCACCCAGTATTATAACCAAAAATTTAGAGTTTTCTTTGGCCGAAATTACGATTTTTTCAAATAAAAGGTAAAATTACGATTTTTCAGCAAAAGCATTCGGCAACGCTGCTGGCAGGTCATTTCCAGGCGTGGATCCCGTTGGCATAGAGAAAAAAAACTGTTATAAAGAATTCAAACCATATAGCTCATTCGGCGCCACCCAGTACATATGTATGTACAAATGTAGGTAATAATGTAAGCGTCTTCCCAGGTTGGTTAAATGCGGGTATAGTTGCATACTGTGTACATCAAATATCCGGCCCACGATATCATTGCATTCACACTGAATGTGTACATACATGTATACTTACGTATGTACAGGAATATAAGGAAACCAGCAAAAATAAAAAGATTTCTTGTCAATGTGGCTTGTTAACATTTTATTTTTAATATTTTTATTGAGCTTTGTACCACGATTTTTTATTAGGAAAAATTGAAAAAGCAACAAAGTCTAAGCGGTAGAAGTTATAGCACTATTTCGGAGATCACCACATTTCTTATTTATTTAATTATGCATCGCGTAGTCAACTCGCGGTAAATTCCCCCGATTTGCAGGGAACTTCAGTTTAGGTGACATAGGGGAACGGACAGTTTTTTGCGGGAAATTGGATATGTTACGTTTACAACTTAAAGTAACCAAATTAGACGAATATGTTAACTTTTAACCATTTTTCGCTATTTGGAGCGACATTTTTTCGAATCGTAATATCTCCACAACGAGAGTTTTCCCAGATATAAGCTATATACCAAATAAAAGCTAAGGTTTTGGGCTAGACTTGAGGAAACTTAGAATAAAATCGACTGACCAGTTTTTGAGAAAATTCTCGAAATCAATATTTTCAGCAGCCCGATTTTTAGTTTTTAGGCGATAACGTTATGACATATTTAGATAGCTTGTTTTAAGACCCTTCTACTGATATCTACTGGAATGTGTAGTGCGGCCTCAGTGCTAGTTTAAAAAACTGCCTTTTTTCGAATTTCAGCCACCAGCCACGCCCACAAAGGCATACGAATCGAAACATCCTAGAACAAAACCATCCCAGTTTTTTTTGTACTTTAATTTCTGAAAGTTTGAAAAAAATTAAATGAAGGTACCCAGCAAAAAATCGGTAATCGCTTTTAGTGGTAACGTGTTCTAGAAGGCATAGCGTTGTAATGCCTTAGAATTATTTCGCTTCTTTTAGGCATTGCCGGTAATGCAAAGTAGAATGTCCTACAATATTTTATTTATTTCGCTTCTTTGTTTCATATCGGGGAATGCAAAGTAGAATGTCCTATAATAATTATTTTTTAATTCGCTTCTTTGCTTCATTTCCGGGAATGCAATGTAGAATGTCCTACAATATTATATTTGTTTCGCTTCTTTGCTTCATTTCAGGGAATGCAAAGTAGAATGTCCTACAATATTTTATTTATTTCGCTTCTTTGTTTTATTTCGGGGAATGCAAAGTGGAATGTCCTATAATATTTATTTTTTAATTCGCTTCTTTGCTTCATTTCCGGGAATGCAAAGTAGAATGTCCTACAATATTATATTTGTTTCGCTTCTTTGCTTCATTTCAGGGAATGCAAAGTAGAATGTCCTACAATATTTTTTTTTATTTCCCTTCTTTGCTTCATTTCGGAGAAGGCAAATTAGAATGCTGCATCGTAGTGAGCTGAAAAATAGAATAAATATCCAAAAATTCTTTTTCTACCGTTACTTTCTGTGGAAATTTGTCTCGCATAAAAATCATGTTTTGCTTTGTTCAATTTGCAGCGAAGTTGAAGTCAGTCAATGAAGTGAAGTACAAGAGTGAGAAAGTACGATTTTAAGCTTTATTAAATATGCATGTATGTACATACCGATTTTTAAGAAAATACAACTGAGCTGATTTATAAAAATTTTAATTAATTTTAATCTTTTAAGACATTTTCTGATTTCAATTTAATATAACTAAGTATGCACTTATCTAGGCATTCTACATTAGTTTCTCTGTAAGGCATTCTTTGTTCGCTTCTCTGGATTCTGTTTATCCATGCGTTCCCCCTTCGTTTTAAGGTAATGCTGCGGGTAAGGGCTTACCGCCAATGACATGCCCATGTTAAAATAAGGCCTTCTTGAAGCGAAAGGGTAAGCAATTCCCATCGCCTAGCTCGTTTCCACTTTCGTTTCTGTGGTAATCGTGTTTTTTGCTGGGTACGTACAGACGCCACATACATACCAAAGCATCTCGTAGTGGAGACACGAACCAAAACACATTTAGCTCTATATCTTTCCAACTACTAGGCGGAACTCAATATATAAGGTATCGTTTGAAAGGTATTGGCCTATAGAATAACACTAAATATGTCGGGTGTACCCTCATACCCCCTTAAACCGGCAAAAGCAAAAAAACGTTTTTTGCTTCGCAACACTTTAGCCAAATTTTTAAGAATTCGGATAATCGTTTAGGAAACCTGAATACATTTTCTGGACACACTCTACAAGACCTCAACGATACCTCAAACATGTCGATTGGACGTCTGGATAAAAACTTCCAAATCTCGAGTATATATAAGCGAGTCATTTCAGCATGCTACTGTGGCTGCTTTCTTCACTCGCGCGCACTGCCGTGCGCTGTGATAAAATAATAGCCGTTTTGGCTGTTTGGACTTAACTCCAAAACTACGAGATAGATTTCAGCCAAATTTTTAGAGGTTATACCTTGCATATATGGTCCTTTTATAGGCTCATATAAAACACGCTGGTGGCGCTGGAGTAGAGTTACTATAGAAGTCGTATTTATGAACAGATTTCGTTGAAATTCAAAACGTAAGCTACCTGCATGATGAAAAAGCATTTGCGAAAAACGGACCCGCTATGTGGTGCTTGAGTCGAGTTATTTATAAAAGCAGTATTTATGAATCGATTTTGTTAATGCAAATTCGAAACGTTTATTACTTTCATGAGGTTTTTTTCCAAACATATATACATATACATATATGTACATACATAAAATGATAGCCGTTTTCGCTAGATAGAGCTCAGTCAAATTGTCGGAAGTTATGCCTTGCATATGTATATGGTCCTTTTAT